AATTTAAACACTTCTTACCTGTTTGAGGATTGACAAAGTTGTAGGAGTGATTTACTGTCAGATGTTGGAAGCCTTCATTGTTCAAACAATTATAAGACTTCCAACAATCTGATATCACTGTTGTTCCTGGCAAGATCCACTCCTTGATACATGCCAGGAGTGTTTCTTCCGTACGATCCTCTACTGGAACGATGAACATCTTTTTTGAGTCTCGCTCGTATTCTCCAAAAATCCACTGACCTTTTATCAGCCGTCCACGATTGTATTTTCGTCGGCCAATTTTTGCTTCATCGATTTCGACTGTGCGTCCTGAACCACCAAACTTTTGACTATGCTTATCAGCCCAGAACACACAGACCTGTAATTAGAAATAGTATTATTAACATTTTGTATATATTAGTGTGTAATATTTAATAGCACATATTTTATTTCGTAAATATTCACATAGGTCAGCGCGTTCAAAAGTCAATGACCTTGACATATGCTATGAAGAACACATCCCCGAGAAATAATTAAAAGATTTTAGCCGTCGTTCGTTGTTTATAAAAAAATTATTTTAAAAAATTTATTAAACTATACACATAGGGTGCGGATTGAATTTTGCCGCAAAATTCTACACATATGTGTATAGTTTAATAAATTTTTTTTAATAACTTTTTTATAAACAACGAGCGACGGCTAAAATCTTTTGATTATTTCTCGGGGATGTGTTCTTCATAGCATATGTCAAGATCATTGACTTTGAACGCGCTGATCTATGTGAATATTTACCCTTGTACATCATCGAAAATATTAATATTAAAATAATTACCTCTCGGCAAAAACTGAACCAGTCAACAATCGTGTTCGGTGATGATACACCATTTTCATCCTGCGTGTCATCTTGACGTGGGTATCGTAGCATTAAAAAACATGCAACGATTTTACAAACGGTGCCCACGTCAAGATTAGTTTTGTCGAATCAAGTACCACATTTTGCACTTTTATAGAATTGGCACTGTTCACGGACACATTTCTTGTGTACATTCTTTACGAAGTATCGTTTTCTACATTGATACGATAATGTTTCTTTATCAATATTAACATTATTACCACATTTACTACACGTAATTATACATGCTAAAATACCGTGTTGAATTAAAAAATCTACTAATCTTTCCTTCGAATATGTTAAATGAGCAAACTCTAGTAAGCTCAGCATTGCTCTGTTGTTTAGGATTTTAATACAATGAAGTGCGCTAATACACAATTGTATTAGCGCACTTCATTTCTTTAAATTTTGTGTACAGTAATTTAAAGTTACTACAACGCATGCGTATGTGGTCGCAGAACATGCGCGCGTAACCGCTGCGCATACCCATGTCACCATATTTTGTCGGTATGACAGGTTTCGTAACCTGAAAAGTGGTCAACTTTAACGACTAATATCTCGCTTCGCGGGGCAGAGCGACACTTTTTCCAAATAGAAAAATTTCATTTAACGCAAAAACGCATCGAATAAGCGTAAATGGATCAAAATCGGAGTGGAGGTAGCGATACTGTATAATTACCTTAAATTATTTACTTCTCGTTCTCTGCCATCAGCCTAACTAATATTCCGTGATGGATCTACGCGACATAAAACTTTAGCAAGCTCAATTGAGACTGTTCTGACTGCTCAGCGCTATTGCTTCGCGAAAGATCTAATGCGTGCGATTTCACGCCGCGAGTAGCGAGGGCTGTTACGAGCGTATAGCTACGTAATAGATTATTTAGAATAAGTCGGGACACGTTTGTGGAAAAAGTCTTTATTTGATGTTGCTGGTTTGAGCTTTGATCGAGAACTGAACTGGCGAGAATGATCTTCGTTTAAGATGCTGTAGGAAAATCGTAGCGCGGAATGTTA